CTCCCTCTTACAGCGTTCATTCCCTCGGATTGTTTGCGTCACAGCTTAGCTGGTCTATTGACCTCGCACTTACCATCAGTGGCCTATAGATACACTCAGCGACCCTATAGGCATACACTAGTGACAAAGCGTCTGATTGGAATAGCTGCATCTGGCGACTAAGTCACTCCTAGCGCCACCATCTGTCGGTCGTCATAAATTCGGCATCTCTCTTCAGATGTAGCTAATGGCAATTGGTCCCATGCATATGCGATGATCCAGTGCTTGTTAGTAACCACCCCGTATCTCAATAACCTTTATTCCTTTAGAATATCTGCATCCAGTCCCTCCGCTGCCCTGCCACCAATTGAGCTTTAAGACTCTCTCGCAGCAACCTATTTATTTTCGCTTATTATGCCCCCTCTCGGATTACACTAACTACGTACAGTTCACGCACCTGACAATCACTACCAACATTCTAACTCTCTTTGCTCTATCCCCAAGCAATTATACACTCTTATCAAACGGATACTCGTACTTTACTTACTGGTGCAACACTCTTGTCTCTTCGCAGGCGATAGCAATCCACCTATACGGCTAATGATTCTATAGGATATTCAAAAACATTTTCAACATAATTATTGTTGCACAGTGTACATGCTTTCGTCTCACGCCCAAATGTTATAACACAAGACATTAACAATATTCAATTCCATGCCTGTTCTTGCGGTCTTCTCTCTGTTGTCCCTCACTTTCCCTTTTCTCTAAGGTCCGGGACTTCTTGGAGATCTGGGATTGGACTGAGGAACAGTTTTGGCCCAAGACGGACGTAACAACCCACAAGGACTTACATGGAGCATGGTAGAACTCCGAAAGGACTGACCTACAATTACCATAACCCTTGTCCAGTATGGAGAACTGGACCAATCCTCATACTCCCATACATTATACATCTGAAAAATATGGACAGCGGAAAACTTGAACTTTTACTCACCTGGACATACAACAAGAAGAAAAATCGCGATGTCCCGCTCCTCCACTGACCTCAAAAATCATGGCGACCCAGCTCAAAATACCCGTCCAACTAACAGAGGAAATTAGAAGCCATTACTCCGCGAAAAACCGAAGGTGAAACCAGTCGTCAAGCGGCTTTGCCAGTTCAACATTAATGTTCAAAATGCTTTACGGCAGTGTTGCAGGATGTGGTGGGTTTTCTCCTGACAAGCGTTCTCCCTGTAAAAAGCCACAAATGTCTGTTTAACAACACTATGACGTGGCGGATGTGACTCGCCACTGAATAAAGTCACAGCCCACAACTACATACTGGCAAGTCGACTAGCTTCACATATCAACTATTCCCGACACCGTTTCAACTACACGCGATTGTACCCGATGTATCGTCGTGATACACAACTGTTTTTAAACCTTGATCATGCCTAAGTTGGTGCATCTCTATGAAACTGAGAATAAACTATTTATTTATTTATTTTATCATGGACATACGACCAATTTTCTACTGTTACTGTCACAATTGCCATAAAATGTTTGTACAGTTGTACATATCTGATCATGCCTTCATGGGCGTGCCACGCATGGTCGAGAATAAAGTATTTATTTATTTATTTAACCGCCTTGTTAGGTGATACAAGATCACGGTGGGGCGGTAGAGCTGGACTTTTGATTGTAAACGACCTAAAACATAGAGCACGACAATCAGAAAAAGGTTAGGGTTGGGACGAGAATGGTTTCTAGATAAAGCGTGGAAATGCTCACGAAGCGCTTCAGGTAGTTTAAACAGATCTATTGGGTCGGCCGAAGCTTGAGAAGTAATGTGAAATGGGTTAGAACAATGAAGAGTGAATAAGATAGCAAGCTCTAAACTAAGGGAAACATCGTGTTGATCCTGCAGAGTTAATGCCACTTAATTCTATGTAACATGGGAGCGGTCGGAGGGAAATAGATTGGTCAGGTAAGACTATACCATAGCTGGGCAGTAAGAGCTGGTGCTCCGGCGGAAGAAAGACAGTGAAGGGTTAATTGATAAAATGTGGAAGAGCCCACGAGGCTTTCTAGGCCATGTAAAATGAAGGTTGGGTCAGCCGGACCAAGATGTGAAACATCGAAGGACTCTGTGTGAAATCAGCTAACAAGAGGCCGAGCTGGCTAGAGGGGATTAGTCGGCGCGTTGGAATAGCACTTACAAAACAGGTAGGAAAGGGGCTGTGACAATGGAGAGTGAACAAATCTAGCAGCCTTTTGTGGTAGGAGGACCAGAGCGTTGAATCTGCATAGTGTATACTGCTTAAGTCTCGGTAGCATAGGAGCAGTCAAAGAGTAAGCGTCTGGTCAGTGGGACTACCTCACAGCAGGGCAGTGAGATCTAGCACTCTAGTTGAGGAAGAAATTAAAACAGAGTGTGATATAAAAGGTTAGGTCTAGGATGAGAAACGTTTGTTTACGAAAGGTGGGAAAGTCCACGAGGCTCTCCAGGGTACATCCCCCGACAGTTGAGTCAGTCCAAACCAGCGAGGTAACGTCTCTAAAGTCTGAAGCAATCACAGGAGCGAGAGGCTGACCTGGTAAGACTCTAGTAAGTCGGCGTGTTGGATTAGAGCATATAGTAAAGGTGAGAAAACAGCTAACAATCGGTAGGGAACAAGTCTAGCAGGTTCTAGATATAAGGGAAACATATTGTTTAGTCTGCAGCGCGTATACTGTTCAAGTCTCAGTAGCACGGGTACGGTCAGAGAGAAATAGGTTGGTCAGTGGGACTAGACCACGGCAGGGTAGTGCGAGCTTGCCGTCCAGTTGAAGAAGGAAAATAAACAGAAAGCGGGGTAAGCAAAGGTTTTGTTTCGGGGTAAGGAGGGTATATTGATAAAGTGTGGAGGAGCCCACAAGGATTTCCAGTTAACGTAAACAGAAGGTTGGGTCTGTCGAACTAAGGTAAGTAACGTCGAAGAACACTGACTGAAATCAGATAGCAGGAGGCCGATCTGCCGAGTCTGTATAAGTCGGCGCGTTGGATTAGAATAAAACTATGGTGGGCAAAAAGGCCATAACAATAACTGGTAAGCAAGTCTAGCAGGCTCTGGAAGTAAGAGCAAATTAAGGTTGAGACAGCAGGGTGAATACCGCTTAATGCTCGGTAGCAAAGGTGAAGTCAGAGGGAACTAGACTGGTCAGCTGAGACAATATTACGGCAGGGCCATGAGAGTTGACCCGCCAGTTGAAGAAGGTAGGAAAACAGGGCGCCATAAGAAAAGTTTAGGGAAGGGCTGAGAAAAAATTTATTGATAGTGAGTGAAAACGACGACGAGGCTGTCTAGGCAATGTCAACAAAAC